CCCTGCTGCCTGCCCTGCTGCCCACCCAGCACAGGGACCCCCCGCAGGACTCGCCGGCCACCCCAGACACCCCCCCAGAGCAGCTGGAGGGCAAGGAGCTGGCTGCCCCTGGGTTGGGGCCGTGTCAGCCATTCGGGCAGGTGCCACCTGCATTCCCTGGCAACCTCCTCGGCACGGGCAAGCCCCCCCCATCCTGCTTCCTGGAGGGAGAGGGCTACACTCAGCCCCACCTGCCCGTGTTCGGCTCCTTCGGCCGGCCGGGCCCCGAGGCGCTGGGCAGCAGCTACCAGTGCCGGGTGCAGGCGCTGAGCTTCTGCATGAAGGAGCGGCCCTGCAGCACAGCGCTGGAGCATCTCCTGGCCACAGCTCCCCCGGCCTCCGCTGCCCCCCGCCAGCCATCCTTCGGGGCCATGGGGCCACGGGCGGGTGAGCAGAAGGAGCCATGGGGGCCGGGGACCACGATTCCACTGCAGGGGGCTAATGGCTACCCCCTGGGGCTGCCCCCCTGCCTCTACCGGACACCCGGCATGTTCTTCTTTGAGTGAGGGACTCCCCATCCTGGGACTACCCAGCACCTAATAAAGCACATTCCCCAACGCTGCCTCCGTGGTCTCTGTGCCCCATTCGAGGTGGGCAGTGGGCAGGGCCAAGCTGGGGACCCTCAGCCCCAGCTCAGATGCTGGCTGGGGGACACACGTGCCCAAGGCCACCTGGCACAGTCTCCATCCCCACCAGTCCCTCCATCAGTGATCACTGACTGGATGGTGAGGCCATGTGGGGAGGGGCATAGCCTGGGTCAGCACACCTACACCCAGGTCCTGTGTCCCAGGGAGATGCCGGGGACAAGGTCCTGTCACAATGTAGGGCCAGGAGCCCCTGAAGCGCCATCCTATGGTAGTGAGAGGGAACTTTGTCCCCAGGGATCAGGGGATGTGCTGCAGCAGAAGTTATCCCCCACTGGAGCCCCACTATCGCCTCCCTGTGCCTGGGACCCCTCCAAGTTCCTGGTTTTGCACAGGATGTCACACATGGCACAAATGGCACCAGCCTCAGTGTGTGGCCCTGCAAATGGACCCGTGTTGCCCCAGACAGACGGCAGGGAGGCACCAGGGGTTGTGGCACAGTGTGGAGGCTCTGCTATGGGGGTAGACAGGGCTCTCTCCCCTCTCTGTCCTTGCTTGTGGCTGTGTCAGTGCCTGGCTTGGGATTCCAACTTGTCCCTGCAGACTCTGAGACCAGGGCAGCCCCAAAGATGGGCTGTGCCAGGGGCTGCAGCTCTGATGGGAACAGCCAGGAAAGTGGATTCCTCCGACCTGAATCATGCAGGGTGGCTGCCAGTGAAGAGGCACCAGCTGAGTCACCGCTGTTGACACTGGGCTGGGCACAGGGATATGCCCCAACTGGCCAGGCTGGAGGACACTGGAGTGGGCACACAGCCCCAGGATGGGTCCTGGCCACCAGCCCCTTCCCACACAGCACTGGGACACCCAAGTCAGCACCTCTGAGCACTGGAGTGGGGCTACAGTGATGCTGGCAAAGTGGGGGGCTGTGCTTGTGCCCCCCATCCTGCCAACCCCAGGCTGGGAGAGGGAGCTCCCAAAGACCGGCAACATCCACACCCCATGGCACAGCCAGCCCCAGGATGGACACAAGGCTGGCAGGGGCTCTCCGTGCTGATGCGGGGACCAAATTTGTGTCAAAGTCCCCCCAGCTCCCCAAGGCCAGTGGGACTCCAGTTTGGCCAGTCTCGGGGGTCTCTGTGGGACCGCGCTGGCACGAAGGAACACTGCCGTCACTGCGGGACCGGGAGCACCGCGGCCACGTCATGCCTCTGTTATCAGCCCCCAGACGGCTGCTGCTGGGCCACGGCTGCGTCCCAGCCCCGGGCAGGGCAGGGGGGCCGCCCTTCATCATCGGGGATCGCCACTCAGCCCTGGGCCTCTCTTTTCTCCCTTTTTTTTCCCTACCCAGTGGAAAACAATATTTGAGCGCCTACATCATGCTGGCGTCTCCGGAGCGGCCGGCGGCG